TTAAAAACGATGTAATTTTTTTTTATTAGGTCGGGTCAATAAAAATGGGTCAGGTGGGTCAAAAACAATGTTTTTGCATCAATCTTCGTTCAAAAAAACCAAACACAAAAAAAAATTATTCAATCGGAGAGCCAACGATTAGATGCCAAGAGCCCGTTTCTTTACTTTCTTGTTACTCTGTTCCCCCTCTCCTAAAAAGTAATAAAATTTAAATTATCCAAATAAATATTTATCGTAAATTAATAAACCGTATAAGTCCAATATATACACCACCATTAGTAAAGTTCTGCGTTTTTTGGTGGTTTAATGTTTTAGTAAAGGCAATTTTTTGCGTTATTACCTGGATTTGTTAATCTGATATATTCGGTGTTGACTCTTTGATACTTTATATACAACTCATCGTAGTCTTTTTGCAGTTTTTTTATATTTTCGAAAAGTGACAGGGCTTTTATGGGCTTTTTGATTGCGGTTCTACACAATTCGATTATTTCTTTATTTCCAGCACATTCCACACACCCGGTTTTTGCTTTTAACTTTTTACGAAGTTTGAACACGTCTTCAATCAAATCTTCAAAATCAGTCATAACACCTGAATCGTCTTCCATTCTATAATAAAAAAAATTTATTAGTGTATTTGATTTAACAAAATTTGTTGCAACAAACTATTTTCAAATCATAAGTTAAAAGAGTTGTTCGGAGGTTGTGCGCGCGACTTTCGGCAAGAGTTATTAAATTGCGACTGTCAGCCGCATGTTTAATTAACCCCTGTTCACCCAGTGAGCTTGGTCCCAGTTACCAGTGAAAGGATGAAAGAGATAGAACTGAACGGGTCTTAACTAATTATATTCATCTTTTACTATTTGTAAAATTATTATTACGCGTTACTTAACTTGTTTCGTTTTTTGTTGTACGAGTAGAGAAATTCGATTTTAAACGATACAACTCAGATTTCAGGATTTTTATAACAATAAAGACATTTATCTAATTGGCTGATTTATGTCGATCAAACGCGAGTAAATGATAATGAAGCATTCGCCAGCGTCGCCACGCAACCATGTTTATATCAGTAAATTTATGTATTGTCTATTACCACATACGGACATGAGTACGACCGTAAGTAGTAACTACTCTTCATTTTCTATAGGGGATCCCCAAATTTCCGGGTCGTAATGGCCGGAATACGTCGTGATTAGGGTCGGGGTTAGGGTTGGGTTAGAGTTGGAGGAGCTATAGGCTATATTCTTAGTGATCTTGGGGCAGGGACCCATAAAATTTTAGATCTAAAATTTTCACAAAAAAAATCTAAAATTTCAAGTATCAACTCAAATTTTCTAAAATTTTTAAATTCTGATGAATTTATATCTAAAATTAT